TTTTTTTTTTTTTTTTTTTTTTTTTCTTTCTTTCTTTTTTCTTTTTTCTTTTTCGTTATAGTATGAATACTAAAATTTTAATTTCATGCTCTTTTAATTAGTTTGTATAATATCTTTAATATAATTATTTTCACTTTCATTTTCAATTTTTGTCGGGGTCTATTTCTATCGATGTGGGACCTGCATCCACCCCGGCTTATCATCCTCGCTGACACACAATTTGGTGTCCACCCTTGTGAAGTGGGAATTTCACAATCCACTTCTTTTGGGGTCCAAGGGTCCGAGGCCCAGTGTCGTTTTCCTCAACAATCGATGTGGGACTCCCCAATCCACCCCCTTCAGGGCCCAGTGTCACAATCGCACTTTTAATGGCAGCAGACTTGCGACTATGCGACACTCACTTTCCAACGACAAGTGAGCTAAGTCAATTCATTCTTGCGTCGCCTACGGCCAAGCGACGTATGCTCGAGCCTCTGACCTCGATTTTAAGAGAATGTTTTAGAAAACGAGGGCAGAGAGAGATTTTCGAAAGAGACGTTATATCAGCAAGCAAGAGAGAAATAACAACGGCTCACAATATATAACCTTGGGTAGGGAGAAGTTGACAACAAGTCGTATCCCTCTATAGTACATTCTAAGACATTTCATGTCCGACAGGCCTAGACATGATATTTCTGAAATGTCATACTTCCTAGAAATAAAAAAGTAAAACACTAGAATATGAAAAGACATAAAGAGTTGGGCTTGTCATGGGCATGCGGCCATGGGCAACACGCCTTGGACGAGCATGACCGTGACACCCAGCATCCTCGTTGGCACACCACTTGGTGTCCGTTTCTCTCTGAGGTTCAGCTTACTCACTGTCACATCATTCAGTGTCTAACTCTAATATCAAATGTAATGGCCCAGCCTCGTAGCCAGCATATATCTAGCCAAGCATAAGAACGAGCTAAATTTAATTTTCTTCCCAACAATTCTAATTAATTAAAAAATAAAATATTTAATATTTCTTGTCCCTTCTCCTATTGACAAGTGTCCTAAAATGTTCCTTCACAACCTCACTTTCCTTTGAATTAAAGGCCAAGTTTATGTCACTTTCTTATCTTTGTTCTTCCACATCTTGAATTGGATAAAATAAAATAAAATAAAATATTAAATTTATGGGTTTAATTTTTTACTTTGGTGACACATTATATCTCTTCATTAAATTATAACAAAAAGTTGTATAGTATATAGTTTAAATCACATCATGAATCATCATTATATTTTCTTCTCCATCTTATATCCACTAATCAATTAATATCGTACGAGAACCTAATCCAACTCATAATATAATGTTTTTTTTTAATACGTTAATCATTACGATATTTCGATGTCAAAGATTTGATTCAAATTCAGTTCAAAGTCAGAATTTGTATAACCATTCAAGTTCACGGCTATCAGATATTTGTTGGCTTATTGGCCCTTAATCTCATGTCAATAAATTTTAATTAATTAATTAATTGACTGATGTTTTGATGATAACAAACCTATCTTCAATTATTAACAATTTTCAGTATTTTGAACTGTCCACAGTATAAGATTAGAAATAACGATTTCAACGACTTTTCAATCTCTCAAATCAGAGCTAAAACAAAGAAATTACAATCGATACAACATACCGAATGTGATGATTGGCAGCTAAATCAAAATGATGGACAAATCAAAATATGACCTTTATAATTTTGGAAGAGTAATAAATGACGGAATTTTTCTTATTATTATATTTATAAATAAAATTATTTTTACATAATATAAATTTGAATTTAACCGTTACACACATCAATTTTTATTATTATTATATTATTATATTATTATATTTATAATAAATTTTAAAATTTTAATTTAAAAATCCTCGTATGTTTAATGTAATGGCCCAGGTCCACAGCCAGCAGATATTGTCTGCTTTGGGCTTTCCCTTTTAGACTTACCCTCAAGGCTTTAAAACGCGTCTACTAGGGGAAGGTTTCCACACCCTTATAAATGGTGATTTGTTCTCCTCCCCAACCAATGTGGGACATCACATTCAAAGTCTCCATTGTTTGTTGCTTTCCCTAAACTTCCAATTTTATTTTTATTATCTTATTCGGAGAGATTTTTTTATTATAGGGTGAGAAAATAGTTGTGAATGCTTATAAATCTACCATTTGAGAGAGCTATGATGTGTTACTACCAAATTCAAATACTTGTACCGGTTTGATCCTGCGTCGTGGAAATGATTGAGTTTGCTCTTGAACTCGGTAAGAAAGCGGTGTAGCGGTTTGACTCTGATCCGTGGAAAAAGTCGAGAAAATTCTTTATTCAAATTCCCAAAAGGCGCTTGGGCTGTGGGGTAGGTCTGAATTTGACCGAACCACTATAAAATTATAAAACTAAGGTGCCAATATTTTCTAACTCTTTCATATTTAATTTCAAAATTATTATTATGATTTATTGCATGTTTTAGTTGATTAGTTTTGACTAATTATTTTGTTTAGTAATTATCATCTTCTACTTGTTTCATAATTAGAAAAATTAATCACGTTTAAATATTTTTATAGTTAAAACTCTATTCACTGCTCTAGAGTTGCCATATCTATCTAACAATATTGTTTTATTTGAACTTTTCCTTTTGAATTTCTCCTCAAGATCTCATCACCGATGTAACCTATTAGTAGAATTGGGTGTGATGTAAGTTTGTTTAATCACGAAGGGATAGCTTTAATGGTGCAATTCCTTCTAAATTCTCGAACAAATGCATCAATTCCATCCCTTAGCGCATCAATATTGGTTTTTTTTTCTAAAAATTTCAAAACACTTCATTAACACGTTTAAGTTAATGATAATGAATTTTTAAATAATTAAAAAATAAATAAATTAATAATTTGAGTTAGGTTGATCTAATTTTTTCAAATCATCGTAAATAAATTCTTATTTTTCATTATAAACAACATCTGAGTCAAAATTCAAAATTGGAAAAAATAAAATAAAAATTGTTTATTATTAAACTTAATTTAAATGAGTGGAATATATATGGTATAAAAAAACATATCTTTTAAATATTCGAAATTTAAAAGAGTTTTTTCGAATAAGATCTAAATTAAATATTTTAAATAAATTCGAAAGTCTAAATATAAATGAAATTAAAAAAAAAATTAATTCGGCGAAATCATAAAAGAGAATTAAATTAAATATTTTCCCGGTCTTTTCCGTTCCCATCATCCAACGCTCCAAATTCACCACGCGGTAAACAACTCCGGACATCCACCGTCCATTCCAGCTCATTTGGTCAGCACACCGGGCAGCAAGCCACAGCGTATTCACCGCAAGATTAGTTGGTCGATCTTCATCGACGGCCATCACACTGCCCAAATATTACGGGCAGAACTCGAGTCCTTTAAATACCCCCCCTGCCTCTCATTATTCTTCATCTCTTACAGTAGTTAGGGTGAAGTGGTTTATCCTTAAACCCTAATTTCCCTTTAGGGAATTTATTTTTTTCCTTTCGATTTTTGAATAATTGTTTGGGGTAGAATTTGGCGCCGAGGAGAGAAGAATCAAGTGCCAGTGGAGTTTCGTTTTCCCGCCTTATGTTCTTGTTGATCCTTCGTTCTTGTTTCTTCGGTACAAATTTCCTCACCGGAGCTTTGTTTTAGTGAATCGAAACAACTAAATCAGTTAGCCGACGATCAAACGCAACGGCGGCGGCAGTGTAAGAGGAGGAGGAGTGTTTATGGCGAGAGTTCCGTTCTCGAACCTTAAATCTAAACCTAATACGAAAAAGAGGAAAACTAATGGTGAAATTAACAACCTCCAACAGATGGATGGAGGATTGGGCAACGTAACAACTCAATCACACTCGGATGATGAGTCTTACGTCGATCGTCACCATGGATCTTCGAATTCCGAGTACAATCAATATGTGAGTTTAAATATATCTTCGTGTTCAGGGAGGGATTTGGTTGTTCTTAAGAAACGTTTACTCGCGGAGCTTGAACAAGTTAGGAGATTCAAGAATCGCCTTGAATCTGTCGGCATTGGTTTCGGAACTAATTGTTTCAAGAAATCGTCCAAGACTAAGGAGATTAACAAGCGGCCGAAGCCGCTGCCTAGATTCGGTAGAGATTTGCAGGTTTCCAATTTATTTGAAGTTAAGAATCTGATGAAGGCTTGCTCTCAAATCTTGAACAAGTTGATGAAGCAGAAGTACGGTTCGATCTTCAACAAGCCTGTGGATGTGGTTGGGCTGCGTCTCCATGATTATTATGATATTGTTAAGCGTCCTATGGATTTAGGGACTGTGAAATCTAAACTAGCTAAGAATTTATATAACTCACCGTTGGATTTTGCTGAAGATATTAGGCTAACCTTTAACAATGCCATGTTGTACAATCCAAAAGGTCATGATGTCCATGTCCTGGCTGAGCAGTGGTTGGTGAAATTTGAGGAATTGTTTCGCACTGTTAGTGAGAAGATGGGCGACCTGGAGCAGCCAGACCTGTATGAGGAGGAATTGCAAGCCAGTTCTTGGAATCATGTAGAAGAGGCAAAGGTGAAAGCGCCATTGAGCTCATCGAAACCGCCTTCAATACAGTCGCCTGTGAAAACCCCATCACCAGTGCGGGCTCCTCAAGTGAAGCCTGTAAGGCAGCCAAAGCCAAAGGATCCGAACAAAAGAGAGATGAGTTTGGAGGAGAAACACAAATTGGGAGTTGGGTTGCAGGGCTTGCCTCCTGAGAAAATGGACCAAGTGATACAGATTGTGAAGAAGAGGAGTGGAAATTTGACACAGGATGGGGACGAGATTGAGCTTGACATCGAGGCAGTCGATACCGAGACCCTTTGGGAACTAGACCGGCTGGTGACAGATTGGAAGAAAATGATGAAGCAGCAATCCCTCATCAGTGACAATGCAAACGCTGATTCCATTAAAGCGAATAGTGAGGTAAATAGCTGAAGGGCATGTTTATTTTCTTTGATTTTTCCATATTTTGCTGGTTTGTCTGATGGGGTTATTGTACTTTTTCCATTTTGGGTTATAGATATCATCTGCAAATGAATTGAATGAGGCTAAAATAGAGGCAAAGCAGCTTAGAAAAGGGGATATGGGTGAGGAAGATGTGGACATTGGGGATGAGGAGATGATGCCAGTGGGTGGTTTCCCTCCTGTTGAAATTGAAAATGATGCAGCTGCTCATGCTAGTAGTAGTAGGTCTGATAGCTCAAGTAGTTCAGACAGTGATGATTCTTCCTCCTCAAGTGGTATGACAATTTTTGTGAGGATTGTGAGTCTGAATCATGGAAAAGCTTCTTGTGGCTAAATCATTTTCAATCTCTCTTGCAGGTTCTGATTCAGAAGGTAGTTCCTCCGATAGCGAATCCGACCGTGACGGTGACGGTCAATCATAGGATATATTACTAACAGCTTTCGGAACTAGCTGTCCACTGAAGCACATCAGTAACTAGATACTGAGGTATGAAGATAGATTATAAATCAGCTTCTTCATCATGTCTGAAAAAAAAATGGGGGATGAACTTTCATGGTCTTTATGTTTATTTTAATTGCTGCTGGAAAAAGATAATTGCTGCTGATTTCCCGTTTTTTCTTTGAATTGAAATTTGTTTGTGTACAAAAGAGGAACAAGAACACTAGAACTTGAGTACAAATGAGTTGAAAAGGAGAGTAATAGATGTATTATTATATGGAAAATGTCTCTACATACATGGTAGTGGCTCTATAATCCAAGTTCTCAAGAAGTCTTGAGTTTTCCATTGTTCCCATAGAGTCTCTGATGTTTGAAGGATCCTCTCATGTTTGAGTTGTAAATGGAATTCATTTGAATGATTCTCCAAATTCCTGTTGAGTTTTCATGTTATTCTATTTTACATGTTGAAAAATGTGACATAAATTTTATGTAGCTTGTTTGATAATGTATTGAACCAAGTTCTCGGATTTGTAATGGAAAGATTTCTGTCGATGAAAACTCAACCTTATGCATCGTTTACGCAGAAAATACCATCAAGACAAAATACCATCAAGACAGATGAAGAGAAAGGTCGGTCGAAAGTGTTTGCCATGACAATTTGAGTTGAAAGCAACAAAAACCAAAGACCAATCCAAGTTATTTGCAAGGTGGGGAAGACTATAGGATCCTATTGCTCCCATGGAATGAGGATTAGTCTCGTGGTCTACATGAGTAAACATGAAATGTTACTATCCCAACCAAGGAGACATCAAGCATAAGGAGGTGGTATGACCTCCCTCTGATAGAGAAGACGTGCATAGTCAACAAATCGAGAAGTAGTTTTCAACCGTTCTTAACAGATTGTAAGAGACTTCTCAATATAGTTGGAAATGTGTCGAGAAACCTGAAGTCAGCATCATCTTACATCGAGATGTCAACCAGTTGAGTGAGTGAGGATGTCACAGTTATGCTTGTCCAAGGTATGTTGTATCTAACTTGCATGTTAGATGTCCCAATTATACCTGTCCAAGGCGTGTTGCATGTGGCTAGATGTCCTAGTTATGTTGGCTGCTTGTCATATGTCCCAGTTATTCCTAACTTTTAACTCTTCACCAAATTTGTAGAGTTGTAATCCAACTTTCCAAAAAAATTAGTTTATCCTATTTCATTATTTACACAAAGAAATAAATGCATAGAAAGTTGACTAAAAATTTATTTCTTAAGTTTTTGTGAGTTTAGTCAAAATTCTAACTTTATTCAACTTTAGCTCGGTTGGTAGTTTGTATGAAATCTTCACTAGAACAATATATTAAAAGAGAAATTCAAGAAATATTAAAAAAATTTAGGATCTTTTTAAAGTGGACTAAATCAAAGTTTTGAGGTTAATTTAATAAATTTTATATTTAAGACTTGGGATCCAAAAACGCGCCAAGTTCTTACGAGGATGGGCGACGAAACGGGAGGAAGCCATGACGGAAGAAGAGTAAAAGGTGTTCCAATGTCGACGATTCAATGTTGTTGACTAGGTCGCTTCTGGTGTTCTCAGTAGGTTATGCTATGGATCAATCTGGTAGGTGGCTGACGAGAAGATCAATAAATCTTCAAATTAAAGAACCCTGTCTGGTATATTTCTTTGATTCTTCAGATTAGCCCTAGTTCATGAACTCTTTTTCCGTTTTTTCAATCGTTCGGAGTTCGAAATGTGTTCTGAAACCACAAATTTCACTGCTAATTCGTGTTTTTTGTTGTTAATTTTCGCCTTCTTCCATTGTTGCAGCTCCTTCGATTTCTCCTTCTCTTCTTTCCCCGATTCCACCAATATCGCTTTCGTCAACAGTGCCGCAAGAGGCACAGTCCTCGATCATCCTTCCATCCGGCTCACCGATAACCAGATCGGTGGCAGGATCAACAACGACACTGGAAGAGCTTACTTCTCGCTGCCGATTCAACTATGGGATCCAGTCACTAACATATCCGCTGATTTCACCACTTATTTCGAGTTTGTGATCTTGTTTTCCAATGGCAGGTCGAATGCCTCCGCCGGTGGAATCGCTTTCTTCCTAGCGGCGGAGAATTCAACATCGCCTCCTTTGAATTCCGGCGGCGGATGGTTAGGATTGTTCAATCAATCGAACAACGGTGATCCGTCGAATCAGATTGTCGCCGTTGAGTTCGATATTTTTAAAGATCCGTGGGATCCTAGCGATAATCATGTTGGTGTTGATGTGAATTCCATTGTGTCCGTGGCTAATCGTACTTGGAGTAATACGATGGTTTCAGGAGACATTTTGGGTGCAAGAATCACTTACAATGGAACATTGAGGAGATTGGATGTTACCCTGAAAGATCCTCAGGTTCCAAACGAGTCGATTACATTGAATCTTACTGATATTCCAATTGATTTGAAGGAAAATCTTCCGGCTAGAGTGATCGTTGGCTTCTCTGCGTCAACAGGTGAGTCGATCCCAATTCAAGCAATTAGAAGCTGGAATTTCACTTCGAGTTTGGATTTGATTGTTGAAACTGAAACTGTTGGGGGGAAATCCAAGTTGTGGCTCGTGGGGCTGGTGTGTGGGTTGGTGGGTTTGATATCTGTGTCTGGTTTGGTATTTGCTGTTTGGTGGCGAAGAACAAGAAGGAAACAGAAAGAAAGAACAGAGGGAGATAGTGATGATGAATTTGATGAAGATGAAGAAACTGGCATGGTGGAGAATGTTGTTGATGATGAAGAGTTCATAAAGGGTACTGGGCCAAAGAGATTTTCATATAAGGAACTGGTTAAAGCAACCAACAATTTCTCTGAACAGGGAAAGCTTGGACAAGGGGGCTTTGGTGGTGTTTACAAAGGCTTTATCACAGAACTTAACATGGAAATAGCAGCAAAGAAGATATCAAGCAATTCCAAACAGGGCAAAAAGGAATACATCTCTGAGGTGAACATCATAAGCCGTTTGCGACATCGAAATCTCGTGCAACTCGTCGGATACAGCCACGAACGCGGCCATTTCTTACTAGTCTACGAGTACATGCCGAACGGGAGCTTGGATTCCCATTTGTTTGGGAAGAAACCACGTCTCTCATGGCCTGTAAGATTCAAAATAGCTCATGGCATAGCCTCTGCCTTGCTCTACCTCCATGAGGATTGGGAGCAATGCGTAGTCCACAGAGATATCAAGTCAAGCAACATCATGTTGGACTCGAACTTCAACGCTAAAGTCGGCGACTTCGGTCTAGCTAGACTAGTCGACCACGGTCTTCGCTCGCCCACAACCGTCGTGGCAGGCACAATGGGCTACCTAGCTCCAGAGTCCCTCCTAACAAGCAAGGCGAGCAAGGAATCAGATGTGTACAGTTTCGGAGTCGTGGCATTGGAAATAGCCTGTGGGAGGAAAGCAGTGGAGCACCATGAAGAAGATGAAGAAAAGATTAGCTTGGTGAATTGGGTATGGGGGCTGTATGGACAAGGAAGGCTGCTAGAGGCAGCTGATAAGGCATTGAATGGAGAGTTCAACCAAGAGGAAATGGTATGTTTGATGACTGTGGGGCTGTGGTGCGCACACCCAAATCATAGTCTAAGGGCTTCCATAAGGCAAGCTATTAAGGTTCTGGACTTTGAGGCCCCTTTGCCTAAGCTCCCAACACAAATGCCTGTGCCTATGTTCTATGCTCCCACAGCTGCCAATGAGAACCCTTTTTCCTATACTTACTCTACAACCAACACAAACTCCCAATTATCTTTGTAAATTCTTGGATGAACTCCTTTTGGTTTTGTCAAATCTTATGAAGCTTTTTCTTTCATTGATTCGTTTTTTCATATTGTTTTAGGATTGAAATTTGTGTGTAGAACGCGGAAGTCTTTCCCCCATTTTGTAAAGGAATACATCTCCATTGGGATGAGGCCTTTTGGGAAGCCCAAAGTAAAGTCACGAGAGTTTATGCTCAAAGTGGACAATATCATACCATTGTGGAGATCTGTGATTCTTAACATGATATCAGAGTCATGTCCTAAACTTAGCCATGATAATAGAATTCTCAAATATTGAATAAAGAATTGTGAGGCTTGAAGGTGTAGTCAAAAGTGACTAAAGTGTTGAACAAAGAGTGTACTTTGTACGAGGGCTCTAGAGAAAGGAGTTGAGCCTCGATTAAGGAGAGGCTGTTCGAGAGCTCCATAAGCCTCAGGGGAGGCTTATAGTGTAATTTGTTCGAGGGGAGGATTGTTGAGGATTGTTGAGAATTGTTGGGAGTGAGTCCCACTTGAATAATTTAGAGAATGATCCTTAACATTGACTTTAGTCCAAAAAAATCTATTTAACCAATCTAAAATTTTTCTAGTTGGACCTACTCGATGTAAATTATTTGAGATTGGGATAACCCATCTCAACTAATTGGGCTAGAGTCGAGCTTGAACCGAAAAGCAAAAAGACAAAACTACCCCCATATGGTCCATGTGATAAGCACTCCTAATGTTATCCTTACGTAAATGCTGAGTCATGTCCTCACAAGCACTCACCAAAGTTTGTATTAATAATAATAATAATTTTTATTATTGTTATTATAATTATTTCGTAAATCGAATCCAAATCCATCCAAGACCTCCATGCTGCAACGCACGCAACTTCTTATTTATCCCATAAAATGCCAAAACGAAATCTCCACCGTTTGATCCTCTCTCCAAATCTTTATCGACCAGATCATCGTCCATCTAACGGTCTAAAACCAAAGAGACCACCGCTCATCTCGCACAGGATAATAACCCAGTTAACTAGAACATTGTCCAGCTTTTGTTTGTAAACAGTCGAATCTCTTGTTGGCGCTTGTGGGAAAGTGTGATCATCTTCAATCGGGGAGAAAAAATGTTGCAGTTTTCGATTCGGCGAGGTAAAGTTCTTGGATTGGGATGAAATTTCTTTCTGAATTTTGGTTTGTTAATGGATGTTGCGTCTTGATTGTGTTTGGGATCATGTTGCAGTGAGGAAATTGAATGTTCTGAGGCCTCAGATCTTTGCTCTTAGCAATTCTCGATTCTCCACCTCTCCTGAACCGTCTTCCAAGCCTAATCCTCCGGTAAGTCAGCGTTTGTTTTCTTTGAGACTTCGTCCTTTTACCCGAAAATCTTTCTGGTATGCGCCTACCATGCTGGAATTTGCAAAGCTAGAGGTCCTTCTAGAATTCTTGCAAAATGTTCACTAACGGATTGATTCCAACCAAGAGTGGGTTAGAAGTCAGAACTTGGAATCTATGATTGTCACTCTTAGATACCAATTCATTATCTTCTTGATTTGATATGCTAATGCTATAAAGATTTTTGGGTTCAAAAGTCTTTGTTTCAACTTGTACACTAGCTAGCTTGTGTAGATGCAATGTATAGGCCTCTTGAATCTTCTTAACCTTGCTTCTTGTAATCGGTCCTTCGTGTACATGCAAAGGGTCAGCAGTTGAATTCATATCACTTTCATATGAAATTTGAATGCTCGAGAAACTAGCGATTTTGGATGCTGAGCATGTTGCATTGGTTTCTTCTTTTTCTTTTTTTGTTATAGCTTGGTGATTATCTGCGCTTGTGGTTTAAATGAGGAGCTCTGTTTGGGAGGAAGTCTCTCGATAGGACGGGAAAAGTCCGAGCTATGCTTTTCCTTTTTTGTGTTTGTAGTTGTTTCTTTGGAGAGACTGACCTTTGCTGCTTTGACTTCTGATATTGAGAGGGAATTATCTGAAGTAGTCTTCTGTAGCTGTTTATGTTCAGCAATTATATTGCAGCTAATGAAAAAGAAGATGATCTATGCGTTCTCTTAGTTTAATTATCAATGTAGTTGGCCTTTTGTTTCGTAACCGAAATATCGTGTTTATTATCGGGGCAAAAACTTGTTTCAGCTTACTTTAATACGGAGGGTTGACATATACTTCATTTACGCAAATCTTTCTTGATTTATATATGTAATTGTCCATTGATAGAATTCCAGTTTAAATCCTTTTTTTCAACTTATAACTGCTTCAGGATTGTGACATTTTGTTAATAACATTTATCTATCCCGTATCTTTCATTCCTCATTTAAATTCTTCTCTTGTATCCTTTTTGTCTTGTGCCAGAGAGTTCCTAATCTTATAGGAGGGAATTTTGTTGATTCCCGATCCTCAGCGTTTATAGATGTCATAAATCCAGTGAGTTACCAGCTCATTTATACGTTCTCTTGTCTATTTCAGGTTTGAGAATGATAAATATTTTGAGATATGGCTAAGAAAAATGTGTGTTTTGTTTATAGGCGACCCAAGAAGTTGTTTCTCAAGTTCCATTAACCACAAATGAAGAATTTAAAGCTGCAGTATCTGCAGCAAAGCAGGCTTTTCCTGCATGGCGTAATACCCCAGTCACAACTCGCCAAAGAGTTATGCTCAAGCTTCAAGAACTTATCAGGCGAGATATTGTAAGTTTGTAGGTATCTTTGTTTTTCCAGAAAAGGAATATTCTAAATTCACTTAAAAAAATTTGCAATTTTCGTTTTCTTGATTTCAGGACAAACTTGCTCTAAATATTACCACAGAACAAGGAAAAACATTAAAGGATGCGCATGGAGATGTATTCCGGGGGCTAGGTTATAATCCTTCACCTCTTAGCTGCTCCCTGTCTACTCTTGTGATTATGAGATGGGAAAGTTCATTTTTTTATATGACTTATGCTGAATGTTTAATATCAAACTGAAATGGCTTATCTTATGTAGAGGTCGTGGAACATGCATGTGGAATGGCATCTCTGCAAATGGGGGAGTATGTCTCTAATGTTTCACATGGAATTGATACGTACAGCATCAGAGAGCCTCTAGGCGTTTGTGCTGGGATTTGTCCATTCAATTTTCCAGCCATGATTCCCCTATGGGTTAGCCTGTTATTCTTCATAGTTCATTGTTATTCCAATGCTTATAATGTCAGCTGTCGTTATATACTTAATTTTTTATGTGAAAAACTTGCTGCTATGAAATATGTTTATCCCCCAAAAATAACTTTATAGCTATTTTCTTCATTCCGCACTGATATTATAACTTTAATAAGCTTTGCCTTTTCTCATGATAATAGATTGACACATAAGTATTTGTACCATGGGATGATTCTCTGCAGATGTTTCCAATTGCTGTTACATGTGGGAATACCTTTGTTTTGAAGCCTTCAGAAAAAGATCCAGGTGATCTTTGTTTTTGAATTATTTCCCAAATAACTTTAATACGAACTGGGTCCTTTTTTTTTTTAATACTTTTTATTGTTTATTTATTTAATGAATACTAGCTTGGCTTTGACCTAGTAGGGATCTCTATGGGGTTTTATTTTTGGCTTGGGGACAACCTTTATAAGGGTTGTTTTTTGTTGAATTTCAACGAAATGAGTGAGAAGACTTTCATCTCCCCCCCCTCTCGACCACCACACACACACACACACACACACACACATTAATAGAGCTTAATTAGTCATGAAGCAGAATGTATTTTCATTGACGAAGACCTTGAATGGATGCTTGAGTGCTCGTGTAGATGTTAGCGGATCTTTTTTCTGTAGAAGAAAACTTTTTTAAATAAGAAGAAATTACAAGAGAAAATTTAGATGTTGATGAAAGTGGTTTTACACTTGGATACTTGCTCGCTCATAAATTCTGAGTTATTAGTTTGACCCAATGACTGAATAGCTGCCTTAAGCTTACATTTTTGCAAAGTTATTGAGTATATCATGGTGGAGGTCATCTCCATTTCCACGTTTTTTCTATATTTGAACAGCTGTAAATTGTTCCTGTCATTTCAGTGATCAGAACTTTCTTGCTTTTTCAGGGGCTTCTATAATCCTTGCAGAGTTAGCAATGGAGGCTGGATTGCCTAATGGTGTCCTAAATGTGGTTCATGGTACTAATGTGAGTTCTTTATCAATCTTCTTTTTGGATTTTTGGATGGCAAAGATAATATTGACCCCGTTGATTGATCTATCTATAATCCTAGATGTACAATCAAGGACAAATGTTGGTCTATATGATTAGATGCTGAAACCATGCCCATTAGATTGAACTCCTATCTTAAATTTGATGGCTGTCACTTGATTAGATTGCAGCATGAACAAAATGTTATTTTAATTTTTGTGATTTTTATGCAGGATGTTGTTAATGCCATTTGTGATGACGAAGATATAAAAGCAATATCATTTGTTGGTTCGAACATTGTAAGCTATCTTACCTGAAAGAACTTATACTGGAGTTTGGAATTTCGATACATTCTACATTCATTTCTGCAAATGGTTTTCTGTGAAACATACTAAGATTTTAGGTTAAATTACAAATTTGGTCCCATTGATGTGGTTTTGAAAGTTACAATTTCATCCTTGTGGATTGATAAAACCTAAAAAATAGTCTTACCTTTAAAACTATAGGGACTAAATTATAAAGTTCTCAAAACTAAAGGATCAAATTTATAATTTAACCTAGATTCTATTATAGGAAAGGGCCTTTTCCACTTTCTGCTTAAAGAACCCAGGATTATTAGTTTGGATGTTTCTTCAAGGGGCAATTGAGTTTTAAAAGTTTTTTACTTGGTGTAGTACTGTAGTGTACACTTTTTACTTCTCTTTGTAACGACTTCTTTTCAATTAATGCCAATTGGAGCAGTTTCATGATCCTTTTTGGCATGGGATTTTTCCTTATCTTATGCAATTTTCACTTAAGAAACGTTTGTTTCTTTTAAAAATTATCACAACCTGTTTTGTTTATCAAGTTAGTACAACCTAATATATTGACATTGATTCATTGATTGGATTTTAATTTGAAATTCTTTTTCTTTTTTTATGTGAAAGGCGGGCATGCATATATTTTCAAGGGGATCAGCTAAAGGAAAA